AATCATTTTTACATGGTGTTTCTTTGTAAATATTCTAACTGGTACTATTGGAAGAGAAACACTTCCAGGGCTCTAAGAGACAGTCGCTTGCATTAATTCTCGCCGCCTATTGTTTCTCTGGTTGGTTTAATCGCTTTATTGTTATCATTACAGGAAGAGAGGAAATTCGCGTGCAGATCTGTGAAGCTGCCATACCGTATCCTCGCCACCAACAGTCAGAATTTAACTCTAGAAAACGTCGAGGAAATCTACCCAAAGAATCTGTGAAAGTTCTTAAAATGTGGCTCTACGAACATCGTTATAACGCCTATCCTTCTGATCAAGAGAAACTGATACTCTCCAAAGAGGCTAATCTGAGCGTCCTGCAAGTTTGTAACTGGTTCATCAACGCCAGACGTCGTATATTACCAGATATCATCCGCAGGGAAGGTCACGACCCTCTTCGCTACACAATCACAAGAAAGACGTCACACAGACCACAAGGATTGCGTCAGTCACATGATCTAGCCAGTCCGGAGCCGTCACACAAGGATGACTTGGCGAAGCATGACACAAGCCTTTTCTCTTCCGTTGATGATAGCGCCACAGACGGTGATGTGGAGAGTGAGGATAGTTCAAGTGAAGGATTTACAAATGAACGTTCCGCCTCCCCCTCTTCACAAAATGGCACAAACTGCTCCTTGAAGCTCAGGAAGAGATGGCAACATAATCACGAGCAAGAAATTTTGTGCCAAGAATGGGAAGCCTCATCTGTTTCTCAAATCATCATAAATACGCCCTCAAACGGCCAGAACCATAAAACATCATACGAACAGTTAAAGTCAGCGTTTCCGGTTCCTGCCGTAACGATAACTGCATCTTCAGGAGTCTTTACTTCGTCTTCTCTGGCGCTTACTAGTGATGATCCTTTTAGTTGCCTCAATTTGTTGGTAGATGTCGCTGTTAAAGAACTAGAAGAACGAGAAATGAAACGTAAGAGACAGTTATGATAAAAAAAATCATTTTTTGTTGTTGATGTTTTTTTTGCAGTATGTGTGGTTAGTGGAGTTTCCAGATTCGTCAGTAACCACGAATAGAACATTAAATCAAGAATATAACGAATTTAACCAAGACTGTTAAAGTTGTAAGAAAGCCTTGTTTTTGTTTTTCTATGGCAGCGACATGCGTAGAATATTTTGTGGTCAATGAAAAAAATGTCGACATGTATACTTTACAGATGGGATTAACCTCACAACTTATTTTAAAGTTCTTTTAACAATGACGTTTAAGTTGTTCGGTTTCAACTGTTTAACGGGTTTTTCCGACAGAATCATTACAGACCTGCTCAAATTTTTTAAATATATGTATATCAGCTACTTCGAGTGTTTTATTCAGTTTCATAATTTTTGAAAGGTTGACACGTGAAACACTGGTTCATGGAAAAAAACAAACAAAAAACGATCATAATCTGAGCCACGGTGTTCCATGAATGATGTTCAAAAAATGTTATGCGCAAGCTCGCGATCCGCAGATATTCTTCCGGTATGCAATATTTCAGCTGATTCCAGGAATCTGGTTTAAATAACCAGAATTCTATGCCCTGAAGTGGTGCCATTTATTATCATGTATAAATGGGAAAAACACATTTGTAAGAAAACAAATCTACGAATTAAAATCATTTAATACATGTTAAAAATATTCTTAAATTAATCACAATCGCCCAATTTATAGAGTGAGATTTTCTAAATAGTTTATATCCAAGAGAGTAACGTTTTATTTTTTTCGAACTGTAAATATTAATGAAAGATTTTTTTATTATTTCATGTCTAAAATCAATTATTTGATAAGCTGTTTCAAGTATACTGTATTTGATTGAAAATAAATAAATAAACACACTTTAGCAGAACTTATTATGTCCTGTTAACAGCTGAAGCTGACTTTCCACCCACTTTTTGCTTTTTATGTTCAGGGGGAATATCCCCCTCCCTCATTTGGTAAATATTTCGGGGAGTATAGAGATGACTTCTTGAAACTACTACTCTCCCTCCCAGTGGGCAAGGGGCTCATTTACTTCATCTAAAACTAGCTTATTACCCCTACACACACAACAAAACAACTTTAAAGTGACAAATAATTCCATATTAGCTGAACAACTTAAAAGAGGCTCATCTTGCTACTACTTTCCCCCTGAATTTTGTTATTTACGTGCTACTAAATTTGAGCATTAGCCCCATCGCGGTAATAACGACAAAGAAAATTACACAGTAGATAACAAAGTAAATATATACACCTGGAAAAAAGTTAAGCACCCCCAAATATTTTTCAGGATTGCTTATTGAAAATAAGGTTTAATTTTCATGATGTTGAGCAATGTTCTTAATTTCAAACATAATTAAAAGGATGTGAGCGTTCAGGTGTGACATTTAAATG